TGTAAAATAGTTTTTATTATTTTATAGAAGCTTAAATTTTTATATATTTAGTTCTTTAATAAAACATTTAAGGCCTTTTTTTTATATGGTTAATTTTATTATAAAAATTTTATTGAAAAGGTGGTTAAAATATTAAAATTTTATTATGTTACCAATTTTTTTATATTTAGGAAGAAATTAATATAAAAAAGCTCAAAAAGTTATTATGTGGGTTTTACAAAGAGAAAGCTAGGGGAAAATGTTTTTTTCTTCAAAAAGTAAAAGAAGAAAAGTTTAAGAATTAGGAATTGTGTAAAAAAAATAAAAAATAAAAATATCCCTTATAATCTTTTTTGCTATAATATTAATAGTTAAATACATATTATAATCTTGTAAAGAGAAAGTTTAAAAAATTTAAAAAAAGTTCCTAACTAACACCTCTTAAGAGTATTGTATGAAAAGTATTATAAAAGTATTGTATAAAAAATTAATAAATTTTGTAATAAAATGTTTTATTTAAACATTTTGTTAGATGGTTAATAATCCTTTATTTAGTAAAAAATTGTCATTGCAAAAGCGAAATTCATACTTTCCCCTTCTCTTGTTTTTTTTTTATATCAAATGGTTACTTGCTCTACAGTAATAAAAATTTTAAATCTCTAAAATTTACCTTAAATTAATATTTTAAATTAATAAATATAAATTTAATTAAATTTTCATTCATCTCTATACTTTTTTATTGCATTATAAAGATATAAAAAAATATATTTTTTTTTTCTCTTATCTCTTATCCCATCTCACATATATGTCATGTGACTCAAATTTAGGATCTCTTATTTCCAACGAAAGGAGATGACCATTAAATTATTTAAGTCGTTGGTAAAAATATAAAAATATTAAAATAACCCTAACTAGAGATTCACATGAGAAAGTGGTAAGAACATACTTTTAGTCATTTACCTTAATAAGTTGTAGGTTTAGCCCTCAATTTATAATATAACACTTTTAATCATTTACCTTAATAAATTTGTAAGTTTTAGTCCCTCACTTTATACTATGACACTTCTAGCTCATCACCTATATGAATTAAAGAAAATAATCCTCATTTAACATCATATTATAACATTTTGTTAGTTCTGTTAGTTCTGTTAGTTGATTGCTAACTACTTTAACCAACTATTAAGAGTAAAGGTGCAAATAAGGATTCCAACTTTGCACTTTTTTTTATTTAAGGATGTTAACTTTGACAGTTTCTAAATAAGGATGTTAACTTTCAATTTTTTTCTAAATAAGGATGTTAACTTT